ATGCCTGTTAAGTTACTAATTACAGTTACTTGCGCACCGGGTACTGTTTGAGGTGATGAGACTACAGTAAGACAAATTTCCTACGTTCTGACATTGCAAAAAACAAAAAAAAGCGATTGACAGATAGGTGGCAGTTGCTCATAATCACAGCTCTGGAAATAAACAGTATAATGAAAGCATGGTCTAGTTAATGGGTATTTTTTAGATGGTTCTTATAGTAGGAGTCTTTAACATTTTAGCAGAACCTGGACAATCTGAGCATTTAACCTAAAGCAATTAACTCCCACAAAGTGTCCTGAAATGAATACATCTGAAAAGGCTTATGCTCCAATGCAGATCTATAATCCATCAGCTGTTTTGGAGTACAGATCAGATTAATGAACATATTTTAACAACGTGCCACATAATCTGATGTTAATAGTTGCCCCAAATTGGGAGGAATTGTCAAGGAAAATAGAGATGCAAGCTTACATCAAACCTACACTTAAAAGTATGGCAGGATGATCACGTAGACAATGTGTGAAGTGGTTTTCACAGACAAGTTGACTATCCATTTAAACTGGCAGATAGTAAAAGCCTGGTTATTTTTCAAGACTTCAGTTTTAATCCATCTTCTAGATGTCTGTGGAGGGGCAAAAAGTATTTTAGAATAGTTCTGATTTGATTTTAAAGGCCTTATACAGGTTTTCATAGATTGTTACCTCAATGAAAGCTTACATTCATTTCTGATGTTTTTAAAGTAGATGTGGATTCTAACAAAACAAATTATTGAGTCCTTTGAATTTTTAGGTAAGAAACCTAGGACTAAAGCACCCAAGATTCAGCGTCTTGTTACTCCACGTGTCCTGCAGCACAAACGGCGGCGTATTGCTCTGAAGAAGCAGCGTACTAAGAAAAACAAGGAAGAGGCTGCAGAATATGCTAAACTTTTGGCCAAGAGGATGAAGGTTAGTCTAAGATTATCTGAGGGGGTGGGAGGAGTTTGGCCTGGCTTTGGATTTGTGCCTTTACCCCAGAAAGGCCTTAACTATATGCTGGTTTGTTTTGTTTTGTTTAGGAAGCTAAAGAGAAGCGCCAGGAACAAATTGCGAAGAGACGCAGACTTTCGTCTCTGCGAGCTTCTACTTCTAAATCTGAATCCAGTCAGAAATAAGATTTTTTGAGTAACAAATAAATAAGATCAGACTCACATCTGTGTTCAGATTTTTCATTGCTGATAGAAAACGACATAAATGAAGAGAGGGCAAGTTTGGTCATAGAAAATGGGGATATGCATATAGTAATCCAATGGTGGATAAAATCAGACCTGTTGTGTGGCAGTGGAAGACAAGGTCTCGGTAAAAGGATTCTAATCGGGATGGGTGGCACAGGAGGGGATTCTCAGCAGAAGACAGCTTGCCTCTTCAGAAAGGCATGAAACTTGGGGAAAATAATGAGGACTATTAATCTTTTTTATATGGTTTATTTAGAGAAATACAGCTCTTTAAAACACTATGCACAATTTAATACATGAAAATTGCCCTTGTGAAGATGAACTTTTTTTTTTTTTAAAGAAAAAGTAACTTTTAAGGCATAGTTTTAGTGGATACCATCTTAAAAGTTTTTTAAACCAGTGCAAATCTGCTTTAACAAAGCTTTTTAACTCCAGTGAATTGTTGTTAATGCTGTTTCACTCTGAAAAGGAACTGACTATATTCTTTTCTAATAGTTTTTATGCTAACTATTCTGACAATATCAAAATCTTTACAAGAAGGCTCATTAGGCTTTAAGGTTGAAGTAATGCAAGCTTTTTATTTGTTAGAACTGCTGTAATAGCTTTACAAAGTAAAGTTCGAAATGTACATGTGAATCACCTAGGGGTCTGTTTTTTTATTTTTATTTTTTTTTTTACATTAAAATGCTCCCAGGTGTGAGGACAGCAATGGTGGCCTCAGTCCCTGGATGCCTACCAAGATTCTTAAATCTATTCCTCCTGCTACATGGTGTTAAAAAGCTACATAACATGAAAAGAATCTTAGCTGGTGATTAATACAGAATGCAGAACTTAAAAGGCAAAGAGGAGGCTGAGGCAGGTGCTAAATGAAGCCAGGTGTGGTGGTGGGTGCCTGTAATCCCAGCTATCTGGAAGGCTGAGGCAGGAGAATCATTTGAACTGGGGAAACAGGTTGCAGTGAGCTGAGATTATGCTACTGCACTCCCACCTGGGAGATGGCAAGACTTCCCTCTCAAAAAGCAAAGGGGAGAAATTTAGCAGTTTACCCAAAGTTAAAAGGACTGATAAAACCGGAGAGGAACTTAAAAGCCATAAGATGAGTCCGGTGTATGATCCAAAGTTTTGTATGATGATGTACAAAACGTGAGAAACACCCTTTCTGAAATGAGTGCAGCCACAAAATAAGGATATTCTTTTAGGTTCTCCTTAGACTTCTTTTTTGCTTTGAGACAGGTTTCACTCTGCCCAGGCTGGAGAGCAGTGGCCTGGCTCACTCCAGCCTTGACCTGGGTTCCAGTGATTGTCCCACTTAAGCCTGGGACTACAGGTATGCAGTGCCACACCTGGCTAGTTTTTGTGCTTTTTGTAGAGTTCTGCCTTGTTGCCCAGGCTACTCTTGAACTCCTGGGCTCAAGTGATCTGCCTGCCTTGGCATCCCAAAGTGTTAGGATTACTACACATGTGAGCAAGTAGTAAGCTCTCCAAAGATATGCAAGTCATTCTGAGGTCATTATGCAGGTTGTGATCAACCTATACAATTTCATTAGTTGGAAGAAAAAAAATTGCTATCAAGCCCCAAACCAATATAAGGTACCAATAAGTAATCTGGACTAATTTGAAAGAAGCAATCTTTCAAAGATTGCGTTGAAAAAAGTAATCAGGATTAAAGTTGCATACAGTGCTACAAGTCATTCTGGGCATTTCTAAATCTTTCCATAGTAATGTTTTTTTCCTGTAAATTTTTAGTGGTGCCCTCTCTGTGGTGGGCATTGGAAAAAGCCTTTAAGAATTTATAACAAGAAATCAGTCCCAATATCTAAATGGCAGCAGCAGGCTAAGGTTTTCAAAGTATGATTGTTAAAGTTATTAGAAAGTTCGCAATTTGATACAGCCATATATTATCTTTACAGATTTTTTTAAATGGGAAGTGCTTTGGCAAGTGAAAATTCGAGTTAGACTACAGTGAAGAAATGGAAACAAAATATTGGAATTCTAAAGATTACAGATTTCAGGAGGCTTAATGTAACAAAACACAGCAAACATCATTTTATTCAACCTCAATTTCTATATGCAAAGTAATTCCAAACTTTCTATTGGGTCAGTAAGTGTTAAGTATTAAAACTAGTACCAACTCTTCAGTTGCAAAAATATATATTCTGAGGCAGTGCAAAATATCCATTTTGAAGGTAATGAAAATTGTACATAATTTCTGAAAAGTTTTTTAGCATTTTCACAATAAATTCACACTAAAATTCTGCACAGGTCAGATTAACCCTGAAATGTTCGAAGTCTGGTACAATAATTTGTAAATGGTTACATAGGTAGAAGAGAGTTATGCTGTTACTGTACCATATGGAAGTAATTTTGCCATGTCAACTGATTGAGTCATCTACATAATTACTGTAAACACACATAAAACCACTGGCTTTTTAAATCATGCAGAGTTAAGGCAAACTTACTGTTCCTAAGGGATAGTTTTAACAAAAGGCATGATAAATGTCAAAGTGCGGCATGTGAGATCATGATTTTCTTAAACCTCCTACTGGTAACAAGCTTAATTTAAAATTTTAAGACTTAATTGATCCAAACTAAAAAACAGTATTTACAAATGCACATTTTTACTCACAAGCATACAAATCTAAATATCATACAAGAATAAAACTTCTGTGTGCAGTGCAAGTTTATCCCACAGGTTTTAAAAACAATCAATACCAACAATATATGTGCCTGAACAAAGACTTCACGTTCAAGGACATACACTGTAGCATTTTAAGCATGTTCCAATTAATTTTGTAAATTATTAGGCAGCTGATTTATTTTCATTTTAACTATCTGATGATTGATTCATTTGTACCCATTTTAAAGGTATTACAAATTTAAATATTGGGAAGAGGATGGAAGTAACTGGATAGTCAAGATAAAATCCATTAAGCAAGATAATACATAATATGAAAAGTGTATTATGTTGGTGCAAAAGTAATTGCAATTTTTGCCATTAATAGTGGCAAAAACCACTATTACTTTTGTACCAACCTAATAAAGTCAGAGAAGGCAGCTCTCATCAAAATGAGACCCCTTTCAGAAAACTGTATTGCAACATGCAATCTATTTTAATAAATATATACTTCGAATATGGCTGTATATAAACATAACCTACACAGCCCTACACATATAAACACACAAATATGTTGCTTTTTTTTTTTTTTTTTTTTTTTTGAGACGGTCTCACCCTGTCACCCAAGCTGGAGTGCAGTGACGTGGTCTCTGCCTCCCGGGTTCAAGTGATTCTCCTGCCTCAGCCTCCCAAGTAACTGGAACTACAGTTGGAGCGCCACCATGCCTGGCTAATTTTTGTATTTTAAGTAGAGACAGGTTTTCACCATGCTGGTCAGGCTGGTCTCAAATTCCTGGCCTCAAGTGATCCTCCCAAAGTACTGGGATTACAGGCATGGGCCACCATGCCCAGCCATGTTGCTCTTATAATTGAGACATTTCATTTGTTTTGGGGGTTAGGCAAATTTAATTTGCCATTCCCCAAACTCAGTAACTTCAAATATAGGCAATGCCTAGAATGATATGGTTCCCACTATTTCTATCAAACTACTACAAATACTGAGGAATCCCGAAGTAGTTTTCCACAGAGGCAGAAAAACAGTCTAGGAGTTGAAAATCTTCAGTGTCAACAAGGCCTGTGCCTGGGACATTAAAATGGCATTTCATATTTTGAGATGATGCAATATGAATCATAATTCATTTTATGTTATCCCCAAGAGTTACTTCATTTCTGTTTTCACATTAGGATTTGGAAAAAAACCTTGAATGTTTCCAGATTAAATACAATCCCCAAGCCTTGTGCGTCAAAATTCTAGTGAATATTTAAATGAGAGGCGCTCCAAAACACTTCCTGCACCACTCCACACTGGCACTTGGTGGAACATCAATTTTCTGCAACTTGTCAAGAATCTCCGAAGACAGACTGTTGTATGCAATTCCATATTCATTGTCAAAGGCCTCTGAAAGAAATTTTCAAAAATGAAATTGTAATTTATTAAGAAAGCAAATAGCCATTCATTTCAAATTGGCATTGAGTCAAATTACACATATTTAATCTACATATTTAGAAGCAGAAATCTTTTAAATCTTTTATACATACCAGCTATAATTTTAAAAATTATTTTAGAAAATAAAATTTACAACTTCCTTTAGTAATCTTTCATTAACCAACTTACCAATATCAATATTCTCTCTTCCTAGAGACACTAATGATAAGAATAGGATTTCTCTGTATAAACTCCTGTAAAACAAATGTTTTAGAAGTTAATAGACAAATAGCATAAAAATAGATGCATTTTTTAAAATGGTGAAGACAGATTAAGTTCTGTTGTCTAGTTAACAGTAATATACCTATGACAATGTCCTGGTTTTAATATTATGTTACAGTTATATGAGGTGACACATTTGGAGGAAGCTGAGTGAAGGCTACACTGAATTCTGTACTATTTTTATAACTTCTGCAAGTTTCTATTCCAAATTAAAGTTAAAAAATAGTGAATGGGATAAAGCTTCACACTAGAAACAAAAATGGCTTAACTTTTTATGATATTTTAACAATGTAAGTAAGACATAACTTTTAATTCTAATGTCTAATTAAAATTTACAAAAGCAGAGTCTTTTCTCACCTTTTGTCACTTGACAAAATAACAGATTAATTTCCAAGTAAGTTAGGGGTCTAAAAACCCTTGGACACAAATAAAAAGGTGGTGTGGTCTCTTTACTATTTAACCCAATAGCAAAGGACAGTTCATGTTTATCTGATTTGTGAGCATTAAAATGTCACAAATGAAACACTCAAAGTGAGCTTCATGACTCAGTTGTTGAGAGGAAAACTTAAGAAATGCACTGTATGTACATTAAAAAAAAAAGAGGAGGTAAATATAATGCTGATTCTAGTGACACTTCACATCACTTTCTTTTTTTTTTTCAAACAGTTTCACTTTTGTTGCCCAGGCTGGAGTGCACTGGGGCGATTTCGGCTCACTGCAACCGCCGCCTCCTGGGTTCAAGCAATTCTCCAGCCTCAGCCTCCTGAGTAGCTGGGATTACAGGCATGCGCCACCATGCCCAGCTAATTTTGTATTTTTAGCAGAGACAGGGTTTCTCCATGTTGGTCAGGCTGGTCTCAAACTCCCAACCCCACGTGATCCACCTGCCTCGGCCTCCTAAAGTGCTGGGATTATAGGCGTGAGCCACCGCGCCCAGTCACATCACTTTCTTTAGAAGCTTGCCTATAGTCCCAGCTACTCAAGAGGCTGAGGTGGGAGGATCACTTGAGCCCAGGTGTTCTGGGCTATGCTGATTGGGTGTCCGCACTAAGTTGGGCATCAATATGGTGACCTCCCGTCATCAATATGGTGACGAGGTTACCTAAGGAGGGGTGAACCGGCCCAGGTCAGAAACGGAGCAGGTCAAAACTCCCCTGCCAATCAATAGTGGGATCACGGCTGTAAACAGCCACTGCACGCCAGCCTGGGCAACAAAGCGAGACTCCATCTCTTTAAAAAACAAAAACAAACAAAAAACTTCAGAAGCCGTAATATGACATTTCTAATATTACATTAAACTACAGATGCTTGAAGCGAGCTACTCATTACAGATTGTGAAGAAGGTCATCTCTACCTCAACTACTGAGAGTAAAAATGGATTCATCCATTTTCATTATCAATTCTTGCCCTATCATCACTTCTGAGATTATCTTCAAAGATGCCATGACCTAAAAAACTTGAAGGGCACTGTAGAAACACTAGTAATGCTTGATATAAGCGATTACGCATACTTTTCTGAAGCTTCTATTGCAAAATTCACTTATGCTGAGGAGAGGATGTGTACTAATCCAAGCATATTAGCAGACAATAGGGACAGGAGCACAATAACTCCATATCCTTTGTAGTTCATTCCCTTTCCCAAATTGTTTCTACTTCTATTCCCATACAGTATTCTCTTATGTCCCACAAAAGAAAAGATGTGTGGGTATCACAGGCCCTGAATAAGTAGTACCTACATTTATCAATGTTAATACATTTATAGGTTTCCAGCAAACAGCAACAATGTTTCCAAAACAGAGTACATTTTAGATCAATGAATTATCTTAAAATGCAATCTATTACTCACTTTTTTTTGAGACAGGGTTTTGCTCTGTCGCCCAGGTGGCAGTGCAGTGCAGTTATCACAGCTTACTGTAACCTTGATCTCCTGGGCTCAAGGAATCTTCCTGTATAACCCTCACCAGTAGCTGAGGTCACAGGCACCACACCCACCAAATTATTTTTTGTAGAGATGGGGTCTTGCTATATTGCTCATACGGTCTCAAACTCCTGAACTCAAGCAATCCTTCTGCTTTGGCCACCCAAAGTGCTGGAATTATAGGCGGGAGCCACCGTGCTGAGCCCTCAGACACTTTTATTATGCATTTCTGTTCAAGTAGGAATTCATATATTTGTGTAGCACTTTTTAAAACAGATGTTTTGCAATGAGTATTTCTTTTACAACTAGAGATATTTTTTAACATAAGATAATTTTTTAAAAACATGAAACTATTGAGTGGTAGCAAGCAAAAATTACCTTTGCCTTTTCATGCCTGGCTTCATCTGCTGTGAAAGCAGGTTGATGGGTTTAAGAACGTTATTATGCTGAATACTCTGCCTGATGGTTTCTACTAAAGTGCTTGTTGCTTGTTGTTCCTCTGACAGGAGAGATGATTTCTTTTCAGAATCTAACAATAAGAACACAGTGAGTTTTATTTTCAATTATTATTACCGTTTTTATCATTTTCTTTTTTTTTAGACAAGGTCTCACTGTGTCCCCCAAGCTGGAGTGCAGTGGCCTCGTTCATGGCTCACTGCAACCCTCACCTCCCAGGCTGAAGTGATCCTCCCACCTCAACCTCCCAAATAGATGGGACTACAGGTGTATGCCACCATGCCCAGATAATTTTTGTATTTTTTGTGAGAGATAGGGTCTCAAAATGTTGCCCAGTTTGGTCTCAAACTCCTAGGCTCAAGCAATCTGCCTCCCAAAGTGCTGGGATTATGGGCGTGAGCCACCATGCCTGGTCCCAATTATTTAAAAAGTTGGTTTTTTTTTGTTTTTTTTCTGCAGAGTTATGGCATTTTCTCTTTGCTTATCCAATATCACCTCCCTGCCACTAGTAAAATTATGTGGCAATGTACCCAACTAAAAAATATTTTTCCTGCTCCCTTCAAACAGGCAGACCTGTCATTCTGCCTTTCTCTTCCAATATATGGAGGCTTACTGCCTGAGGCTAAGATGTGATAGATTGTACTCCAGCAGCCATCTTATGACCATGAAGCAATCTTTACTGACAGTGAAGCAGATATAACAGAAGGAACCTGGGTCCCTGATGACACAGGAGTTGCCTAGCGGTACTAAACTGTCAAGTATATAACTTCTTTCTTTTTCAAAAATGTATTTACTTATTTATTTTTTGGAGACAGGATCTCATTCTGTTGCCCAGGTTGGAGCGCAGTGCCTGATCATTATAACCTTCAACTCCTGGGCTCAAGCAATCCTCCCCACTCAGCCTCCCAAATAGCTAGGACTACAGGCATGCACCACCACAGTCAGCTGTAGAGACAGAGTCTTGTTATATTGTCCAGGCTAGTCTCAAACTCCTGACCTCAAGCAGTCCTCCTGCCTCAGCCTCCAAAATCACTGGAATTGCAAGCATGAGCCAACATGTCTGGCCTTATTTTTAATTGATAAATAGAAACTGTATTTACTTATGGTGTACAACATGATGTAATTCATAACTTCTTTCTAGACAGTGTTTCACTCTGTCAGCCAGGCTGGAGTGCAGTGTGGTGCAATCATAGCTCACTGCAGCCTTGACCTCCTGGGCTCAAGCAATCCTCCAGCATCAGCCTCGAGTAGCTGACACTATGGGTGCATGCCACCACACTTAGCTAATTTTTTATTTTTATTTTTTGTAGAGATGGGATCCCACTATGTCCAGGCTGGTCTCAAACTCCCGTTCCCAAGTGATCCTCCACCTTGGCCTCCAAAAGACCTAGCCTGATTCACTTAGCCTAATAACTTTATATGAGAGAATAATCTTTACAACCATTTAAGCTTCTGTCATTTTCTATTACATATAGTAAAGTCTAGTGCTAATTAGAAGAAAAGTAATTTGGCCAGGTGCAGTGGCTCATGCTTATAATCCCAACACTTTGGGAGGCTGAGGTGGACGGATCACCTGAGATTGGGAGTTTAAGACCAGCCTGACCAACATGGAGAAATCCCATCTCTACTAAAAATACAAAATTAGCTGGGTGTGGTGGCACATGCCTGTAATCCCAGCTACTGAGGAGGTTAAGACAGAAGAATCTCTTGAACCCGGGTGGCGGAGGTTGCAGTGAGCTGAGATTGAACCAGTGCACTCCAGCCTGGACAACAGAAGCAAAACTCTATCTCAAAAAAAAATAAAATAGCAATTCTAAAACTATTAAGAAGTTTTGTTTTTTTTTGAGATGGAGTCTCCAGGCTGGGGTACAGTGGTGGAATCACAGCTCACTGCTGCATAGAATTCCTGGACTCAACTGCTGGGATTACAGGTGTAAGCCACCACACCCAGCCACATTTTCCTTTTTTTTTTGAGATGGAATCTCACTGCGATGACCAGGCTGGAGTGCAATGGTGCGATCTTGGCTCACTGCAACCTCTGCTTTCTGAATTCAAGTGATTCTCCTGCCTCAGCCTCTCAAGTAGCTAGGATTACAAGCATGCACCGCATGCCTGGCTAATTTTTAAAAAAATATTTTTAGCTGAGACAGGGTTTCACCATTTGGCTAAGCTGATCTTGAACTCCTGACCTCAAGTGATCCACCTGCCTTGGCCTCCCAAAGTGCTGGGATTACAGGCATTAGCCACTGCGCCGGGCCTCTATTTTCCTTTTTTTAAATATAAAGTTACATTTCACTTCATACTGATATGACTGAACTTTTAAAATATGTTTATATTACAGACTGAATTGTGTCACCCCCAAATTCGTATGTTGAGGCCCTAATTAGCAATGTGACTCTATTTGGAGATGAGGCCTTTAAAGAAATAATTAAGATTACATGAGGACATAAGAGTGGGGACCTAATCTAATATGGCTGGTGTCTTTATAAGAAAAGGAAACACCAGGGATGTGTGCATGTGCATGCATGCAAACACAGAGAGAAAAGGTTACATGGGCATACAGCAAGAAGGTAGCCATCCGCAAGCCAGAGAGAGGCCTAGAAGAAACCAAACCTGCTGATCCCTTCTAGATTTTACATTTCCAGCCTCCAGAGAACTGTGAAAAAATAAATTCCTGTTGTTAAAGCCACCCAGTCTGTAGTATTTTATTATGGCAGCCCTAGCAAACTAACACAGTTTGAAAGCCACTTAATGTTTTTCCCATGAATAACCTATATTAATATTATTTGCTCATTTATCTACTGAATTGTTTGTATTTTTCTTATTGACTCATAAGTCTTCTGAATACATGAATAATAACCCTTTAAACCCCTTATAAAAATATATTCTAAATATAAAAGATTAAAAATGAAGTCAGAACCTTTAAAACCAGTCAGTATCCATCAATACAACTGAACTTAGGATCTTATACCAATACATCTAAATTACTCTTCTGCTACATAGAATTTAATCTCAAAATACCTAACCAAACTCTTACTTGATAAAAAAAAAATCACCAAAAAAAATTACTCAACTCAGTTGAGACCAGTCACAGTTAAAAACGGGTCAGTACAATAGCAAATCACTTATTCATTTTCGTGTGTACTTTTTTTATAATTGCAAATTATTTTGAATTAATTAAAAATTTTAAAATAAAAGCAAAATAATTTGCTTTTCTCTATTTAACTCTAGGGAAATTTAGCTTAATTCTGTTCCTTTTTTCCCCCCAGCAGCCCATTATTTATCATGGAACAATATCCTACAACATGAACGGACTGTGCCACAATTTGCTTATCCAGTCATCTATGGATGCATGCTTCAGTTGTTTCCGTTTTGAGTATTTTTTTTTTCCGTTTTGAGTATTTTATGTCTTTAATTCTTTGTTTTGTTTTGTTTGAGACACAGTCTTCCTCTGACACCCAGGCTGGAGTGCAGCCTGTAGTGACCTCGGCTCACTACAACCTCCACTGCCCGGGTTCAAGCAATTCTCGTGCCTCAGCCTCCAGAGTAGCTGGGACTACAGGTGCCCGCCACCACACCTAGCTAAGTTTTGTATTTTTAGTAGAGACAGAGTTTCCCCATGTTGGCCAGGCTGGTCTCCAACTCCTGGCCTCAAGTGACCCACCCACCTGGGCCTCCCAAAGTGATGGCATTACAGGTGTGAGCCACCACTCCCGGCTGTTATGTCTTTAATTCTATTTTACTTACTAAAATTCCTCCATGAGACATACAGAGGTTCTCTTGGTTCCTGGTGAAGGTTGATATTATCCCATAACAGCTGAATATATACAAGTTTGCTATCCTGGGACAGAGATGACAGAGGAAGCTAAAAGAGATCAAAAGAAAATATTAGTATCCCAAGAATAACAGTTACCAGTGAATCTAGTGAAGCTTGGTTATACACACAGATTGAGTCCTTTTAAAATTCTGGACCTAAAATTCAGAGACAAAATTTTAATTTTTATTAATGTCTGATTACAAATGTTATTATTTTTTGAAGTAAAGGTTTCTTGGTGTAACTTTCTTTTTTTTTTGAGACGGAGTTTCGCTCTTCTTACCCAGGCTGGAGTGCAATGGCGCAATCTCAGCTCACCGCAACCTCCGCCTCCTGGGTTCAGGCAATTCTCCTGCCTCAGCCTCCTGAGTAGCTGGGATTACAGGCACGTGCCACCAGGCCCAGCTGATTTTTTGTATTTTTAGTAGAGACGGGGTTTCACCATGTTGACCAGGATGGTCTCGATCTCTTGACCTCGTGATCCACGTGCCTCGGCCTCCCAAAGTGCTGGGATTACAGGCTTGAGCCACCGCGCCCGGCCTCTTGGTGTAACTTTTAAAGAATGGGAGACAATTTGCTAACTGGCACAACAGTTACAGAAAGATTAATCACGATTACAGCAAATTTTAAGGTCAAAGAGCAAGAGTTTCTACTACCTTACCAAATAATTTTGTTTTGTCTACTATTACTTAAAATAAATGAGTCAAACTAGAGTTTATAGTACTTCAAGGAAAGAATTTATTTTATACCAGGTGTATGTTTGGGGTCTGACTGTCCATCAATATTCAACATTATAAAATAGGCCGGGCGCGGTAGCTCACACCTGTAATCCCAGCACTTTGGGAGGCCGAGGCAGGTGGATCACCTGAGGTCAAGAGTTTGAGACCAGCCTGGCCAACATGGTGAAACTCCATATCTACCAAAAATATAAAAATTAGCCAGGCGTGGTGGTAGATGCCTGTAATCCCAACTACTCAGGAGGCTGAGGCAGGAGAATTGCTTGAATCTGGGAAGTGGAGATGGCAGTGAGCTAAGATCACACCATTGTATGCCAGCCTGGGTGACAGTGGGAATCCGTCTCAAAAAACAAATAAACAAAAAAACTATGAAATAAAGCATTCTAGGAGCTCACTGTCTCTAATGGAATCAGGATCCCAGTATAAGTAGAATAGGGGCTTACAAATCAAACAGCCAGACTGTGACTTTGGCTCTCCGCTCCATCACCTATTAGGTATGTCACCTTACAGAAATTACTAAATTACTCTAACTTTTAATTATAACATCTCAAAAATATGGATAATATGAGTCCTTTCAAATAAGTACTCATATTATTTCATTTGAATTTTTAAATTGCTTTGAGAATTGCAGCTGGGAATAGAACAGTTAAGAATAACAGCTACCAGCCCAGCACAGTGGCTCACACCTATAATCCCAGCAATTTGGGAGGCTGAGGTGGGTGGACCACCTGAGGTCAGGAGTTCGAGATCAGCCTGGCCAACATAGTGAAACCCTGTCTCTACTAAAAATACAAAAATTAGCCAGGTGTGGTTGTGGGCGCCTATAATCCCAGCTACTCAGGAGGCTGAGGCAGGAGAATCACTTGAACCCGGGAAAAGGAGGTTGCAGTGAGCCAAGATCGCACCATTGCACTCCAGCCTGGGCAAAAAGAAGAAGTAGAAAAAAAAGAATAAAAGCTACCTTTTCTAGCTACCCTTGTAGATAGATACGACCTAATAACTGAATTCAGGCCAAGAAAATATATGTGGAAATATTATCTACAACTCCAGGAGCTGTCCCTTAAGAAAGAAGACATACTCTCCCCTCCATCCATTTTTCTCCTAACTGCTGGATAAAAAGTGGATGTGATAGTTTGGAGGGAATCAGCCATCCTGGACCAGAAGCACAACTTGGAAATGAGGGTTATGCATAGCTAAGCAAAAATATAGACAGATTTTAGGCTTCTAACACTTTACAATTCCAGGACTGCTTAACCAAACTTTTAAGTGAGAGAGAAATAAACTTGTCTTATTAAGCTACTGTTGTTGTATACTTTCAGGAGCTTGAAGTTAAGTCTCATCTACCCAATACTAATGTAAGTATAAAAGTTGGCACCCTACCTGTACACCTTCATTACAATGTTCAGATGTGAGGATAAGTCCTGGCAAGTTACTAGGAAGGTCCAAACGTCTGAAATACCAAACGAGGTTCCAGAAAATGATTGGATGTTGATTGATGAAAGAAGATGTATGAATCACCTGATCACCCTCATTTTCTAGCAAAGACTCAAGTTCTTTGCGAAGCACTAGAGGACTCAAGTAGGGCACAGAAACAGGGAGAGGATTGGGCCTTTTTCCTAAAGGATCCTTCAAAAAAATACAAAAAGAAATTAATATTATCTGTTTAAATCTGCATGCTCAAGAGTACTTCTCAATGAGATAATGCCTCTCTATTCTTTTTAAATCAGTTACTTCAGGATCATTGCTACCAGTTATTTCAGGACCATTGCTACATGCAGAATACCCTAATGAATGAAAACCTAAAAAAGAAAATACTTAAATACTGTTAAGTTAAATCATTACAAAAGAAAATTAATCAACAGGCTCTTTAAAACATACTCTCTATCACATTGAGAGCAATGGCCTGAATGTATTAGACTTTTTTTCAATTTTTATAAGAAATATTTGCATTTCAGATGATTTATAGTAATATGTGTATAAAAACTGTGTGATATTATCTTCCTCCTACAACTCTAAACTGATGGGCCAATCTTTCGTATTAACATTCTTTGTTGACTTAACTCACTTTTACAACTGATTGCAACAAAAACTGAAGGAATTTAAGAAATAGCATTTTTAAAATTCAAATGAAATAAGAAACGAAAAAAAAACCTAACCTAGACTTTTTGAGTTATGCATATTATAATCAGGATAAAATGTTTAAAATTCTCTCATTAACAGTGAGTCCCCCTCATGCCTACACTGTGGTCTCCAAAATCATTTCCCTCTAAATTGACCCATAGTTTCTTAGAGAAACGACTGATTCTAGGTCTGGGTAAGAATATATATAACATAAGCATGAAACATCTTGTTATATAAGAAAGCAAGAAAGCTTTTTAAAGATTACAAAAAAACTACTAGAGTTGTGTCAAAAGGACTAATAAGTTAACTTGTAGAGGCTTCTAGCTGACCAAAGAGAATAATATAAGCACCAACAAGGATAAAAACAGCAATAGATTTAAGGATAAATGTTTAAGGCACGGTGGTATGTGCCTGTACTTCCAGTTATTAGGGAGGCTGAAGCAGGGGAAGTTTCTGTTTATAAGGTATTCCTTACTATAAAAAAGAAATGACAGAATTAGACTATTATCATTTTATAGCTCCTAATAAATTATTTTATCTAGTTATTAAGGCATTAATAGCTACTGTTTGTGTCTCCTGATGCGAGGAACATATCACCACTGATGAAATTGTCTTATAAAAATAAACAAGCAAATGAACAATAAAACAAAACCCCCAAATCTGATCGAGGTTCTGGATACAAATCCAACTTTTATCATTGCAATCAGCAAAATCTGGATTATAGGAAACTATACTCTAACCAGTTTTACCAACAAATAAATTGCAAAGGGAAAAAAGAATCTACAGATTCAAAAAGACTAAAAACCATACCAACCAACTGTAATAAATGGACTTTATTTGATCCTGATTCCTCAAGCTACAAACCACACATATACACACACACATATGCATTTGACATTTTTGAGACAATCAGAAATTTGAACTGACTAAATAACTTGATAATATTATTTGGGAGTTTTTTTGTATGATAGAAGCAGTGTAGTTACATTTTCCTAAAGTCATCATTTAGGTACACATACTGAAATATTTACTAACAGAATTGTGATGTTTGAAATTTGCTTCAAAATAATCTCGAAAAAAAGAGAACTGAATGAGAGTATACATAAAAGAAGAATGGCTATACACTGAAAATTATCCAAGCTAGATGATGGGTCAAGGGACTCATTATATTGTTTCTTTTTGTACATATTTGAAATTCTCCACAATAAAGCTATCTGTTTATGGAAAAATCCTAATCTATCACTTTTCATGTAATTTTAAAAAGTCTACTACAGAAGAGTTTATAATATTCTACTATATACTTAGATGTGTATGCAGTAAAATTACAATGTTGTTACATACCACAACTTCCTGCAGACTGTTTGGAAGACTAACTGTTGAAATGCCATGAAACGGTCGCTGGGTAAAGTCAATATTCTGCAAGGGGCCTCCAACACTGTGACTTCGAGTCAAAGATACATTTCGCTTTGATAAACTATTAGGCACAGATGAAATTTTCATAGTTTGGACATCTCCACTGGCTCTCTTTATTTCATCACTTTGAAAAAAATGTAGAAGAAATGCTATGTTCATGTTGAAAAACAGTCTAAATCTGTAGAGCTAGAGTATTTTCTGCAATGGACCACGAGCCTACTAAATATATCTAAGAAGAATTCAGTGCCACCTTGTAAGAACTGCATTTTCTTCAGGCAGTTTTGTATAACTGGTCAGAAAAACAGGATGGAGTAGACAGTTCTGGTGAGGGGTGGGAAGATGACATATTGTACATATACAGGTATTACTTTAAAAAGACAAGTACCCATTCAGTTGCTTTACTCAAATATTATTTCATCTTTATTAAACAAAATTACCTAGAAGTATGCTACATGCAAGTAAGTACGTAAAAACACTGACAAGTATTTAATCTCTACTGGGCTGTGATCCACCTAAGGAGAGAGTCCCAATCATATTTACTTTTTTATTTTTAGAGCTTAGCATAATGTTTAGCATACAACAGAGTCTCAATAAATGTTTGATTCAATTAGTAGTTAAAGGTCAAGTGTACATTTCACAGAAAATAGTATTTCTCCTCTGAAAATTGGCAATGACTACATTAAAGGGGAATATTTTACTGTTGAGAAGTTTATTTTGCAAAAGACTACTATAAAATATTAAACTCAGTTCAAAAATGGTTTATCATCAGATTCATTCATTAGTTCTTTAAACACTACATGGTAATAAAAAGTTAGGATGTACTTTTAAATGCTAGAAACTTATGCTCACATGAGTCACGTTGTCTTTAGAGACAGAATTTTTACAAGGGTACCCCATTTCTTATTATATAAAGAAGTCTATGTACTCTTTGGTACCTTGGTTCAACTGCAGAGCCTGTTTCTTCAGTTATGGTCTGGTTATGTTTTGGGAAATCCATAAAGTTGATCAAGTCAGGTTCTGCTAAACTGGATACAGGTTTGTGCTCCAAGGATTCATTTGCCAGTGGAATGCTTCCACTTTGTAAACTGTCACCAGAAGTACTTGGTTTCAGGAAAAAGCTACACATGGAAAAGCGGGGGGAAAGAGCCTTTAACAATCCTCTAGTCTTCTAAATTCTATCATATTTAGAATCATTTTATGGATAAAGGAATCATTAATAAAATTATATATATTCCAGAAGGAAAATGCTACCCATTTCAAACACATACACACACACAAACTCTCTCTCTCTCTCTCACATTCCTGTTATCTTCCCCTCCTATGGTAAACCTTTCAAATAAAAGGCTGGAAGTAGTCCAACAAAAGATCTTTCCATTTTTGAGAACCACTAAAGAAAACTAGGAAGGAAGAGGGGAAGCAAAATATTTTATTCATTTCCTGACTTAAAAAAAAAAAAGTAAAGAGCTGCAGCAGCAGCATTTTAAGATATATTAATCTATATTGCTTATAATGCCCCTTTTTATCACTTATAAATCTCCATCTTGTTTCTAGTCATTTCTTCTCTGTTCATTGTTTTATTTCCATCTTATCTCTCTCCTTCTCTTTTTGGGTGGAGACTCAGGGAGGGAAGGGCCTTGCAAGGAACATTCGAGAATTTTCTGAGGTAATGGTAATGTTTTCTAAGGGTTTAATTTTTGCACAAATGCATGCATTTATTCTTCAAATGGAATGTTTTAAGATTTGTACATTTTGCTGTATAACAATTTATCTCAGAAGAAAGAAATCTGTCAATAAATAATGAGCTCTAGTTAATGATATGCATACCAAAGTCTTTGGGGGAGAAATGTATTAATATATCTTACCTTCAAATGAGTAAAAATTTAAGACAGATTGGTGGAGAGACAGACAGGTGATAGACTAAGTATAGTAAAGTGTAAATTGAAGGACGTAGGGGTAGAGATATTTGAGTGTTCATTGAAAAAAACTTTTAGGCCGGGCGCGGTGGCTCAAGCCTGTAATCCCAGCACTTTGGGAGGCCGAGGCGGGTGGATCATGAGCTCAAGAGATCGAGACTATCCTGGTCAACATGGTGAAACCCTGTCTCTACTAAAAAACTACAAAAAATTAGCTGGGCATGGTGGCGTGTGCCTGTAGTCCCAGCTACTCAGGAGGCTGAGGCAGGAGAATTGCCTGAACCCAGGAGGCGGAGGTTGCGGTGAGCCGAGATCGCGCCATTGCACTCCAGCCTGGGTAACAAGAGCAAAACTCCGTCTCAAAAAAAAAAAAAAAAAAGAAAGAAAAAAACTTTTAAACTTTGTTGTAAGCTTGAAATTTTCTATAACAACATATTCAGGGGACAGACTTAATAATGCTCCTTTATGCCCAATTTGAAAAATATAAAATAAAATGCTTGTCACAATAGCTTAAAAACACAATTAACTCAACAAAAAAGGATAGGACTTACAGAGAATAATTTAAACCAGTGTTAAAGGACATAAAAGAAGATCTGAAAAAAAAAAAAAAAAATACAGAGATATACCAGGCTCATAGATAAGACAATAATATTAGAAAAGTCCATTTTCCCCACGTTAATCTATAAATCTAATGCAATCTCAAGGAAAACTCTAGTTGTGTGTATGTCTGTGTGTGTGTATTTTTTGAAGACCTCAAACAATCTAAGAATTCATAGGAAAGAGTAAGCACACAAAATATAATAACAATAAAATCCTAGAGCAGGAACTCAACCTACTAACCAGATATAACACAAAGACCAACCGACAAAAACAATATGGCATTAAGAAAAACAGCAAGGAAATGCAGAACCAAGTGAGGTATACATGGGAACTGAAATATGATAAAGGTGACACCACATATCAGTGAGAAAAGGATCGGTTATTTAGTAGATAATATTGGGATAACTGGATTTTTATATGGAAGAAAAATAAAAGCTGGATCTCTACCATCATATATAAAAAGTAAAATCCAGATATATTAAAGACCTAAATATCAAAAGTAAAATATAAGCAGAAATGTTCAAGGAGAAAACTTTCACATTCTAGGTATAGGGAACAACTTTTAAAGCAAGATTCCAAAAGTACAAATTGCAAGGTAAAAAATTAATGGATAATGAAATCAAAATCAATGCTTTCTCTTCAAAAAATTAGTATCAATAATATTCAAGTCAAATCAACAGGAAAAAGAAACAAATAGAAAAATAGGCAATGAATATAAGGAGGCAATTCACAGAAAATGCTAGAATAGGCCAGGTGCAGTAGCTAAAGCCTGTAATCTCAGCACTTTGGGAGGCCAAGGTGTGGGGTGATCACCTAAGGTCAGGAGTCCGAGACCAGCCTGGCTAACAGGGCGAAACCCTGTCTCTACTAAATATACAAAAATTAGCTGGGAGTGGAGGACACCTGTAATCCCACCTACTCAGAAGCCTGAGTCAGGAGAATTGCTTCAACCCAGGAGGCAGAAGTTGCAGTAAGCCGATATTGTGCCATTACACTCCAGCCTGGGCAACATGAGTGAAACTCTGTCTCCAAAAGAAAAATTCTAGAATAACAAAATAATTAAGAGACACTCAAATCTGTCAGTATTCAAACTGCCAAAATTTAAAAAGTGATAATACCAAATGCTGGTAAGGCCATATAGAAATGAGAATTTCTGGGAGGCCGAGGCAGGCAGATCATGAGGTCAAGAGATCGAGGCC